TTTCTCAGATAACAGCGCAAGATCACAAGTTTAGCTACTGTTATAACTCTATCTACATAGCAATCTGGTGAGAATGGAAATGCTGCGTAGTGCTTATTGAAATATCGAACTCCGTCATCTTATATGTTTGCTAATGCTATCTCAAGGGAGAAGTACTGCGTGGTTAAAGTAGTGGTAGTAATTATTAAAGAGTAGTTATCATGTTTTGCGGAATCACCTTATAACATGCTTTTTCAAACAAGACAGTCTTAGCCTAGTGGGGTTAATGCGGTGTAAGGTGTATACAGACCGGACGCGGGTTCGATCATCTAAGTTTCAGTGGTTTTGCAACGACATGCCTCTTCTCTGCAAGCGCCTCTTAGTTATCCTCATAGTTTGGTCGTTATTTGAAGGTGAACCTACGCGCTAACTGCGAGCAGACAATGATTGTTAACTGCGAGTTTCGAGCAAATTACTACTCCCTGATTGATTCTGTCAGCGCTATACGCACAATTTAAAATTGAACCATGCATCAGAAGTGAAACGGTTCATTAGAGCAGATGTCACTTATTCGGAGTTCTTTGATGACTGCGGCAATTCTGGAGCTATTACATGCGATTAAACCCTGGCTTTGTAAGGAGTGCAGTCGTAGAACAAATCAATCATCTCCGGATTTGTTCTCTGACTCTAAATAATGCTGTATTCTTCGCCAATTTTCCGAAAAATTGCCCGCACTATCAACTTGATGGTAGTCTAATAGTCCACTGTACTTATCACGGGTAGCGCAAATTAAGGTTTCGACTCCAGTGAGGGAGCCTTAGAAGCTACCACATCCAAGGAAGGCGCCAGTAATTTATCCACTCTTGTAAAGATGTGGTGACAAAGTAGAACGACCATTCCTATGAAACGGTCATTTCAATAAGTTGACTATAAACCTCTTTTTGAGGATCAAGTGGAGGGCAAGCCTGGTGCCAGCAGCCGCAGTAATTTCAGCTCCATCAGTGTAAATCGTCATTACTGTGTTTAAAAAGCTTGTAGTTGGATCTGAGTTACATGCAGCAATTCGCCTTTAGCGCTAATCGCTGTTGTGATTATTTGTTGGTTTTTCACATAAGTTTTAGCTTCTGTAGTGGATAGCGAGCTTACTTTGAATAAATTAGAGTGCTCAGAACAAGCGTTTGCTTGAATGCTCGACCATGGAATAGTAAAAGAGGATTTCGGTTTTACTTATTGGTTCAGGAACTGAAATTATGGTTAAGAGGAACAATTCGGGGGCATTCGTATCCTTGTGCGAGGTGAAATTCGTAAACCGCAGGAGGACGCCCCAAAGCGAAAGTATTCGCTAAGAAGATTTCCATTAAACAAGATTGAAAGTCAGAGGTTCGGAAGCGATTAGATACCGCTTTAGTTTTAACCGTAAACTACGCCATCCCGAGATCCGATGGGTATTGTTGCCTTGCGGAGGAGCTTCCCGGAAACGAAAGTCTTTCGCCTGGGTTAGTATGGTTGCAAAGCTTAAACTTAAACTGGAGACGTGGTAATTTAAGTTTTTTAAAACGCGTTTTTCCAAATAAAATAGGATGACAAAAAGGACATTTGAACCGAAATCATGCAGAAATTTCCGTTGATCAGGTTGCAGGAAGTTCGTGAGTTCAGCTGGGAAATGTTACGTTATAGTACCAGATAGGAAAGACTCGAGGCTGTTTCTTGCATTTGCAGTCACCGTACTACCCATTGAAGAAGGAAAAATCCAAGTCAAATGATCAACTTTTGCGATAGCCGACGTTATTGATCATAGCTATATTCTATCTTCAGCATACAACCCGATCTTCATCAGAAGATAGTGTAGGATTAGTAATGTTGAAAGCTTCTCCTAAACGCACTGACGCCCGTTAGGTTCTTGTCATAATTTCCACTCGCATGTTTGATCGTTATCTTTTAGCCAACCTAGTAGATGAAAAGGGAGGAGAACATCAAGAAAAGACCTGCTTGGGGCTAAGGCACGTTGCGAATGTTAGTTTTGTTAAGCAGACCATATTAAACTGTATCAAACTACAGTGTTGGAAGCGTAATAGGGCATAGAAACAAACTATCATGAAGTACTTACAATGATGCTTGTGTACAACTGCTGTTTGCGCACGTATCATAATATATATATGCAATATGAATTATACTACGCTGTAGAAACTTTAAAAAATATAGCAGAACTTCGCAACTG